TTTAAAAAGAACTGGCCTTTTTTTTCCCCCCCCGGTTTTTTTTTGGCCCGACCCCTTTTTTTCAAACCGGGGAACCTTTTTTGGGGCCCTGTTTGGGTTTGCTTGGGGGCCCTGAAAACCCCCCAAAACCCCCCTTACCCCCTTTTGGGCGCTAGGGGAATAAGGCTCCCCCGGGGTGGGGGCCCCAGGGGCCGCGTTCCCCCTCCTTTGGCCCCTTTAGGTTTGTTCCTTTCGGTTTTTGGTTTTCGGGCACTGTTAACTTTGGGGTTGTTTTTTTCCTTGGACAATTTGTTGGGGTTTCCCACTGATGGGACAAGGGTTGGGGTTTTTGCACTGTTTGCCCCTTTTTTTCAATTTTTGGGTTTTTCCCGGTTTTGCCCTCTCTCCAAAAAACTGTGACAGCATGAGGAAATTTGGCACCCAAAAAAACCGGGGCAAAAGTGTTTAAAATCATGATCAGTTTGTCCCCATTGGACACCGCTGTTCCTGGTAAAGGGCCCCTGGGGAATTGGCCCTTTACCATGATAGGGGAAATAAAGGCTCCCCCACCTCCCCAGAGTGTACAGTTTTTCTTGGTTTCCTGTTTTGTGTTCCCCCAATTTTGGGTGTAAAAGGGAAAATTTTAACCCAAAAAAAAAAAATGTAAAAAGAAAAAAAAAATTTTTTAAAATACTTTTCCCTTTTTTCTTTCAGGTAGTTTTTAACTGTTTTTATGCTGTAAATTTACGCAGTGTTTTTTCATAGTATATTGTACTTTCCCACATCGCCCCTTTAACCCTAAAGGGGGTTGTACAATTTTAAGGTCCCTAACTCAATTCATACATACACAAAATTTTGGGCCAAAATTTGCAAAACCCAATTTAAAACCTACCGCAGGGCCCTTTGAAGTAAAACCCCTTGCAGGACAGGGGAGAACAGGAAAACTCCGGGCAGGGGGTTTTGCCATGGGTGGGATTTAAAACCAAAACAACCAAAGTACTGCCAGGCAGAAGTGTTTAACCTTTTTTAAACCCACTGTGCTTTTTTTTTTTTTCCATCCTGTCCCCGTCAATGCCCCTGATTTTCCGCCACCCCCAAAAAAAAAAAAATTACTTTGGACTGTCAATTTTCCCAAAAAAGGGGTTTTTTTGTACTATCCTGGAAATTTGGGGGTTCAGAAAATTCAGGAAAAAATATTCGTTTTCAGAGATTGTGGCTATTTTAACTCTTTTTACGGGACTGAACTTTTCACACAAAATTTTGGGGTTATTTTCACCAAAGAAATTTTTGCAGAATACTTTTTTGGGCCCCAAAAATTCCCATGAAGAAATTATTTTTTTGAAAAATTTTTGATAACAGAAATAAAGGAAAACGTTTTTTTTTTAAAACTTTTTTTTTTTTTAAATTTAAAAAAAAAATAAAAAAAAAACAGTGCTGATTAACCCCCTTGGCCTAAGGGGGAGGATTTCCCCCCCCCCCCCCCCAAAACCCAGGCCTTTTTTTTTGCGATACGGCGCTGGGGTTACTTTTAACGGGAAATTTGGGCGGGGGTCACGAAAATGCTGTACATAAAAAAAATGTATGCCCTTTTTTTCCTTAAAAAATGGGCCCTTTCTTTGGGGGGTTTTTTGCCCATCTGTGCGTTTTATATTATGGGGGGCAAAATAAAAAAAACTTTTTTTGTCTGAAAATTTTAAAAAAGGAAAACAATATTTTTGATTTTTTTGCTATAAAACTTTTACCCAGTAAAAAAAAAAAATTTAAAAAATTTAAAAATTTTTCTTCTTAAATTTTTGGCCAAAATTGGGGTTTTTTAATGTCTTTGCTTAAAAAAAAAAAAACCCCAAAACATGTAAATTAATTTTTTTCCTTAAAAGTTATAGGATTTAAAAAATGGCGGGGAATTTGATACTGGAAAATTTTTTTTTTTTTATTTCTATTTTTGGCGGGGGGGATCAAAAAAAAGGTTTTTAGAGGACCCGTGGCGGAACCCGAAATGCCCTGGGCATCCGAAAAAAGACAGGGGACGTGATCCGTGTAATTAAAAAGACTGACACTTTACTAATTTGGGACCCGGGCAGGAAGGGGGTTAACCCTCTGGGACGATCAAAGGGGTTAATGGGTGTGTTTAACATTATTGCCCCTTGGGGTGGGGTTTTTTCTAGGGAGACATGCTTTGTGCAAAAGGGAAAAACACAAACAGCTTTTGGGTTGCTGGCAAAAGGGAGGCCTGTTTTTGTTTACACAACCCGGTCTCTCCCTGGGCAGCTTTTCCCGCCAAACGTCGGTTGCCCGGCCCGGAAAAATTCAGGGTTTATGACATCCCCAGCCACCAAAAAGGCGGCCGGGGGGGGGGGAGGGGGGGTGGTTTCACATCCCCCCTGGAAATGCAAATCCACATATATTTATATATGTTTATTTTTTAGCAGCCCTGGGCCCGTAGCAGTAATTTTTGTCTATAGGGTGGTGTGTTTTTAAGGGAAAGGGAGGGTTTAAAAACCACCAAAAAGGGAAAACTTTAAATGGTGGGGAAAAAAAAAGATTAGAATTTCTTAAAAGTTTCAGGTTTTTTGCATGACCCCCACAAATTTTAAAATTTAAAAACATGGGGCAAACGCTTGGGGAAAAATGGGAAAATTTTTTGGGGGGAAGGGGGGTGAATGTTTTTCCGGGTTTTTTGAAGTGGTGGGGGAAATTAAAATATTTCTAAAGGTCCCAAACTTTTTTACCTTTATGTTACCTTCCCTTTTAAAACGCAACCTTTTTGGTGTGAACCTGGACTAAAAAAAAGGGTTGGAAAACAAGGGTTTTCGGTGTTTTTAAATTTAAAAAACTTTGGGGACAAAAAAACTCAAAATTTTGCCCCGAAAAAATAGTTTTATTTTACTTTTTAAAGGTGAGAGGCGTTTTAGTACAAAAAAAAAAGGATTTTTCAAATTTTGAAAAAGGGGCTTCTGAATACAATGGTGTTTTCTTGCTGAGCATTTTTGAGCTTTGAGCTTTCAAAACTTTCAAAACCCTCAGGTTGGGGGTTGGTTTGGGGCTAATTTGCCTTTAGGATTGGAAAACTTTACACATTGTAAAAAAAAAAAATTGATCCCCCGATCTTATTTTTCTGTTTACCTTTTTCTTGCCCGTTCTCCTCGGTTTTTATTGGTGGATGTGTTTCCCGTTTGGGAAAAATGAAGTATTGAGGGGATCCCTCCGTTTCCCGGGTTTTGGGAGAAACTGTCCTCTGAGTTTTTTAAATGGGGAAAAATTTCTGGGGAAAAAAAAGTCAAAAATTTTTTGGTTTTTTTTTTTAAAGGAAACCCCCCAAAGAAAGAAGGGGGATTCAAATTGGGTTTTAATTTTTGTTGGTGATAATACAATAATTCGGGGGACCTTTTGTTCTTCCCTGATAAGGTTTTCAGCTTTTTCCCCCAAAGGATTCCCCTACAGTCTCCCAACCCCAAATATTCTGATGGGGGGAGATTACACAAGTGAAGATTCAAACAGTTAAAAAAAAGTGGGTAAGATGTACACCTGAAAATTATGGGTTTAGTAATCCATCAGAAGAATTTTTCAGATTTTCCAGAATTGGGGTCGTGTTTTATGTAATAGTTTCGGGGGGGGGGGGGGTTTTTTTAGCAGACATGCCCCCTTTTTCCCGCATCAAACTCCACCCTTTCTGTTTAGGATCTTCGGGGTTTTTTACAGCCAATCAGAGACTGCCGGCCCACAGCCAGTCCAAAAGCCCGTGATTTTTTTTTTTTTTTAAAGGGCCCAGGCATGGTTTTGTCAGCTTTTAAGGGGGGGAAACCCGGGAAAAATTTTTTTGAAAAAAAAAAAAAACAGGGGGGTTCTAGACTCCCCATTTTAAAATAAAGTACCTCTCCACTCCAGCAAGGGAGCCCTACCTCCCCTGCGTTTTTTTAACCCTTTTTACCAGGATGACGGGGTTGCAGCCACAGGGGATCATCCCAAGTTCTATCTGTTTTGGCCAGCGTTGCTCTTTTTAAAAGCGTGTAGTGGTTAATAGCCGCTTTGATTTGATATTACCCAAACAGCAGGGGGGGGAATCCCCCCCCCCCCTTGCCCTTCCGCGGGGGTCGGGTCAGGCTCTTTTTTGTCCCCCCCAGGGGGGACCCAAATACCCGGCCGTTTCATTTACCGGGGCTGGCCGGAGCCCAAAAAAAAACAAATCGACTTTGATCAGGGGTTCCCCCACTTTGATAAACTGGTAGCAAAGACCCCGACGCCCTTCTGGTTTACCCGGATGTCAACAGCGCCTTTTTAAAAAAAAAAATAAAAAACATGGAGCTTGGTTTTTTTTTTAAATACTTTTTTGGGCGAGCAGGGATCTGGGGTCTTTTTGATAAGAAAAAAAAAAAAATTAAATGTGACAGTGTTTTAAAAAAAAAAAATTTTTAAATAAAAAAAAAAAAAAAAAAAAAAATTGTTAAGCACCCCCCCAAACGTTCCCTGCTTTAAAGTACCTTTTAGTTTTTATTCCCAAACTTAAAGCTTAAATTGCAGCCTATTGTCAAATATTAGAGCGGTCATAACGATTCGATTGGGTCAGAAGCCGCACCGATTTCTAAAGTAGTACATGCAATATTTTTGGTGCGATTTGCATAGACATCTGTATCAGATGTCTTGCAAATCGCACCTGAAATCGGCATGTCACCTGACTTTGAAATCGTGCGACTTCACTGTAAGTCGCACAATATCAAAGTAGGGTTTGATGTGACCGGGGGGTGTTAAGATCCCATGCTTGTTTCTCATGTTTATTTTGCACCATGTGCAGTTTTATATTTGTTGTTACAATTATGTAGTTGAACCAGACAGACCTTCCTGTAGTAGAACTGTTCCCATTTTTCTCCCCCTACAGACATGGTTGGTAAACCTACAATCAGAAAATTTCTTCCTCGCTTCCTAAAGAAAATGTTTCAGTCGCCCTCACCTGTACCTCTACTAATGCAGAGAGAATATTATGGAGCAGGTTCCCCTCAGGAGCCCCTCTCCCTTCTGGGGCTACTCTATCTCAAGATAACAGGGCTGTCTTCTTCTCCAGGATTCACCGTACGGATCGGACTCCGGAGGTTATAGATGCCAGGCTAGTAACCCTGTCAGTACGGAGAACAGTGATCCCGTCACAATGACCGTGGCCTGTAAGTAGCGCGGGACTGTCATGCTAACAGTAAAAAATACAAAGAATCCTGCCTGTAATCAGCTTAGTATAGGGGAATGCTGAGCCAAAAAACCCGTTTTTCCTGCTATTCATGGCTCTGTTTGGGAGATTTACCCTCATTTGTGTCCCTGTTACCAATCCTCCCCCCCCCCCCCCCCTTCATGTCCCTTATGTCTGTTGAAACCACTGTCAGCAGGACAGGAATTGAAGACAAATCTCCCCAAGGCTCCATTCACACTTGTGTGACTTGTCATGTGACTTAGAACACATAAAATTGCATGACAAGTCACAGCCCATGTATTTCACTGGAAGTCGTTCGGATGTATGCGACTTAAAGTCACAGCGACTATAAAAAGGTGCCTGCACTACTTTGATGTGACTTTCATGTGACTTGAGTGCCATAGACTGCAATGTAAACTCTCAAAAGTCACATCTTAATGTTAGCAATGCAACAGTTGTGCAACAGTCAAAGCCAAAGTCGCATCCAAGTTGCACCCATCCAAAGCTGCATCAAAGTCGCAATGGAAATCGCACAACTTTGGAGTCGCACAAGTGTGAATGGATCCTAAGGCATCAGACCTGAACTGATCAAGTGACAAGCAGGCAGAACACTCCACTCCTAAACAAAGTTGAGCTTCAAACAACCCAAAAATGTTTTTGTAAATCTAATGCTCTGTAGCCAAAGAATAGCCAGAGCCAAAGGTTGGAGGGGTCCAGTAGGTCCCCCACTACAGGATCGGGGGGCGGAGACAAGACCAGTCACCCTGCACAAGGTGTAGTGACCAGTCTTTATTATACAGATTCTGTACAGAGGCATAATACAGGAGGTGCTTTATGCTAGATTTCTGCACAGTTCTGGTAGAGATTTAACAGAATAGTTATTCGGCCAAAAGATCAGAAAGAGATTAACAGTAAAGTGCAGTTTACTAAACGGGGCAAAGTTAGGCAGCTTTTACACTGAGGCTGCTGAACAGAATAAAGTATAAAATCATCGAATACAAAGTCATAGAAAAGAATAGAATACAAGAGAATATAATGAACTATAAAATGCTAAAATAGAATAGAATGAAGTAGAATAGAAAAAATAGAATATATTTTATTAGAATAGAATGAGTATAGTAATCTTTCGGAATTCGAATTTCAGAAGTCGGCTATGTTCGTTCTATTTTTCTCTATTCTTTTGTATTTTTTATTCTGTTTTGTTCTATTCTTTACAAAATAAAATAAGAAATGCGCTGTAAATCACTTAATTAGTGCACATATAACAAAAAGTCCATGTGTTAATTTCCAAAAAAAGTCACTCTATAAATTTGGTGAAAAAATAAAAATAAATATATTCGTGCTCATAATCCACCACCAGAAGAAACAATAAATAGACTCACCAGAGCTAAATGGAAGATTAATTAAAACCAGCAAAAGCGCTGTTGCTCTGGGAGTGATGGTAATAAATCCAGATTTTCAAAGCAGTACTCTATAGAGGGATGGAATATCCAAACTTGGGAGCAATACTCTGCAGCAGCAACATCAAGCCAGCATCTAGGAGCCTTTAATTAATCGTCTCCTTTCATGATCATGGAACCACACTCGCAATAGCATCAGATTGCAGATAACAAACGAATCCCGCTCACGCGGATACCTCCGCTACTACCAGGGAGCGCCCTGATGTCATGAACATCCAGGCTCCGCCCTACGCATTTCGTCACAAATGACGTCCTCACGGAGCGGCTCACAAATGGGCGTAATTTGTGACGAAATGCGTAAGGTGGAGCCTGGATGTTCATGACGTCAGGATTCGTTTGTTATCTGCAATCTGAAGATATTGTTTATTGCTGATCATGCTGTGGTGTTGGCGTGACACCTTGTTTGTGAGTTTTTTTACTTACCTTTGAATAAAAGTGATGATTTTAAAAACATGCTGCACCATCATTCCTTTTCTTTATAGAGTGTGTGGTTCCATGATTCTTCTGGTGGTGGATTATGAGCACGAATATATTTATTTTTTTTTTTTCACCAAATTTTTATAGAGTGACTTTTTTTGGAATTAACACATGGACTTTTTGTTATATGTGCACTAATTAAGTGATTTACAGCGCATTTACTTAATTTTATTTTGTATATTTCACCTTGATCTAGGGTTTTAGGTTTGCTGGGTATTTATATTTAATTTTATATAATTTATATATAATTTTGGTAATTTGAGTTTTTTTTTTTTTTTCATCCGGTGCTTTTCTTTCCTTTTTGATTGATTGTTCTATTCTTTTATTCTATTCTATAAAGCAGCCTAAGGCATCCTGTTTTCCTTTTTTATACCTTACTGTACTTACTGCATTAAGTTTCCATTTCGAATTAGAATTCTTATTCATTTCGAATCGATTTGAAAATAACCAACATACAAAAATAATCCGAATATAGGAAAACAACTCCAAAAATGAAAAATTGCAACATAACAAATTTGATGAAACATTACATTATTAACTTAAAAAAAACAGATCCGGAACACACAATAAAACAAATTTTTACGATTGTGCACATCTCTAGTGCTTGTTCAAAACCTCACCTCCCCATTGAATTACATTGAAAATGCATCAAAAACTGCATCAAAATGCTTCCATTAAAAACCAGTCCACCCAGTAAAACTGGAAATTTGTCCTGTTTATTGTGATCACAGGGAGTGAAATTACAGGCAGTGAAATCACAGAGAGTGAAATTACAGAGACTGAAATCACAGGGAGTGAAATCAATGGAGAGAAATCACAAAGAGTGAAATTACAGGGAGCAAAATTACAGGGAGCAAAATCACAGGGAGCAAAATCACAGAGAGAGTGAAATCACAGAGAGTGAAATCACAGGGATGCGAAATCACCGAGAGTGAAATCACAAGGAGCGAAATCACAGAGAGTGAAATCACAAAGAGTGAAATCACAGGGAGCGAAATCACAGAGAGTGAAATCACAGAGAGCGAAATCACAGAGAGCGAAATAACAGGGAGTGAAATCACAGGGAGTGAAATCACAGAGAGTGAAATCACAGGGAACTAAATCACAGGGAGTGAAATCACAGGGAGTGAAATCACTGAGAGCGCAATCTCACAAAGAGTGAAAGACAATCCAAAATGTAGGGTTGTCACCAGAATAGTGATAGAGAGGGAAATCTTTCAAATATCTTGGTATCACTTAGTCAGTTACTTTTTTTCTCTTTAGCCCTTTTATTCTGATGTTGAATTTTTTGTTATTGCAGATGGCCCAGAAAACGTGAAAGTAAAATACAAGTCATCTTCAAATTCTCTCCTTTTATTAGAATGTTCTGCTGATTCTGTCCCACCAGCAACCTACCATTGGAGACTAAATGGAACAGATATAAAACAACAGCAGAGCCAGCTTCAGGTAGTTCCAGAGGAGGTTGAGAGTGAGGCGACTTACACATGTGTGGCCAGGAACTCAGTGATGCAGCTTACTGCCATGGACTCTGTATATGTGGATGCAACATTCGGTAGGTATAAGAATCATCTGCCATCAGAGCAGAATTCCATCACTAAGGCTCGGTTCCCATTATTGCGACTCCAAAGTCCAGTGCAACTTTGGTGTGCAAATTTTGATGCAACTTTGACACTCTCTGGCACTCAAGTGACATCAAAGTATTGATGTAGTGAAGTTAATTCAGGAACCTTTGTTGTTGAGTCTTTAAGTCGCATTGATTGGAAAGAGTGCCATTGAAATTAATGGCCTGCGACTTGTCATGCAACTTTATGTATCCAAAGTCACATAACCAGTTGCACAAGTGTGAATGGAGCATTAAACCTGTAAGTACAAAACATTGGTGTCTCTCAGTATCTTTTTAATTTAGAAGTTTATTTTGTATATCTGGTCCTAACCTAGCTTTAAGTCTACGGTCAGACTGCTGCAATTTTTAAATCGCATGATTTGTGTGCAATTTCAGGTGCGATTTCTGAAGACTTTATTACTAATTATGAAGTTTTCCAACGACTTCTTGAAATTTGCAGTGCGATTTCCATTATATTCTATTCTATGGAATGTGAAGTCGCAACAAAACTATAGAAAAAGTAATGCAAGAACTACATGTTAAGACACCGACATTCATTCATTAGATGTGATTTCAAGTGCGATTTCAATTTGTAAATCGCACCGGCACTAAAGTGCATCTAAAGCCAAAACTATATCTTTTTATTTTGGAACGAGTGGTAAAGCTTCACAACATCAGTCTGGGTTATGTTGCTGTCTGTGTCCCCCGTTGCAGAGATTCGCTCTCTATTTGATCTGGTGACCATTGCCAATGAAAGTGGAAGGGAGCGGTAAAACCAAAATCTGAGTTGCCGCCAGAACAGGAATAGAGGGGAAATCTTCTAATGGTGACACCTATTCTGGGGACCTCACTTTGGAGAGATTCTCTCTCACTTCCTGTTGTGGCTACGGGACAAATAGTGAAAGCAAATCTCCTGCTTTTGGGAAATTAAAAAAAAAACCTGACAGGGGTTTAATCACCACTTGCCTACCGGGCACTTTCACCCCCTTCCTGCCCAGGCCAATTTTCAGCTTTCAACACTGTTGCACGTTGAATGACAATTGTGTGGTCATGCAACACTGTACCCATATGCATTGTTTTGCATTTTTATCACACACAGCTTTTTTTTTGGTGGTATTTAATCACCACTGGGTGTTTTTATTTTTTGCACCATTAAAAAAAAAAAGAGCAAAAAATTTGAAAAAAAAAAAAAATTTTGCAAACAGGTAATTTTTCTCCTTCACTGATCCAAATGAAGCAATAGCTTACATTATAACTTTTTTTTTTAATTCGTTGATGTTCATTACTATGTCCATTCAGAGATTCGTATTCCCCAAAAATAAGATTTTCAGCCAATAATTGATTATGAAATAATGCGCATGTCTACTGCACAGAACTGCATGTGAATCGCACAGGAATGCTGTTCTAGTATGAATGGACCTTACACTTTTTTCTTAAAAAAAAAATAAAAAATTACCCGTTGCTGTAGTAATTGCTTAAAAAACATTAATAAGTGTTGAGCTTTGCTTTATTTTTCACTAAAATTCAATCTAAAGAATACATAAACACGATGTTTCATATTCCTGATAGGTCCCCCCCCCCCCACCTGTACAGCAATTCACTGGGAAAGTCAGTGTACTGCTGATTCTCCTCCCCTAGCTCTTATGTAGGTGAGAACAGAGGGTATCTGATCACTTATGGAAAAAAGGTATTTATAATGTTTTCATATCTATACACAAATGTTTTGCTTTTCGTTTCTATTTTTAAACTGCATAGGTTGTTTTACCTATGAGCTGGCTGAGCACAGCTAGAGAACTGACCACGTTGTGCTCTCCTGCCTAGTGTGGTCAGATTTTAATAGGAAAGCAGAGGGACTGCCAGGAACACCAGGGATTTCACACAACAGAAGCAATACAGGAGTCTTTTTTTTCACACAGGTACATGGTACAACAGGCACTTATCAGGAATATGAAATGTTGGGGTTACATACTCTTTAACTTTTATTAAGCAGCTAATCAGAAGCATTTAAAGTGAACCTGAGCTTTGCCCATGTAGGTTTACTTTAATACTCATATCCCCAAGCACCATATACTAATCTTTTCTTTATTCCTCAATACCCTGTTTCTTTGCCCTTTGTGGCAAAAGCACAGATTAGCTTTAAATAATTATAATTACAAAGTTTATATATATAATTTAAAAATATTTATTTTCATATAATATATATATAAAAAAATTGCTTTATAATAATGGGTGACACAATCACAAGAAATTATGCCTTAAAAAAAAGAATGAGTTGTAGGGTTGCTTAGTGAAGCACAACAGTAAATTCCTCTCTGCAGTCCCAGGAGAAGATATAGATAAAGTTCATTAACATAAAACTAAAACACTGTAAAGCTCAACATAGTAATGATACACACAGTATACATTTCATTTTCACCTTGGTAGTAGTTTATCATATTTTTGTACTATGGCCCGTATCTTTGATAGCCTTCTCCCTGCATCCCTTTGTCTTATCTGCAAAGAAATGTTTCCCTTCAAGTAGGATACTGTCCTCTCATTATAAATTCATACTGACATGGCCATCCATCAGTGGTTTCTTTCTGTAGTCCATGTGACCAAAAAAGATCCCTCACCAGCTTGTCTCCTGACTCGATGAGAAGACACCTTACATTTCCTGAATGACTGGGTTTTGTGGATCCATCTGCCCACTTAATGCCAAATTCAAAATCCTCTATAACGGTAGAGGCACCAACAGGCGATAACTTATGGTGACCTATGTCCTGGCGGCGGCAGACATCGTGATTGATGTTGGATCTACTTTTGGGGGACATTCTTTTATTAAAGGACTAGTTAAAGAATGACTCCTTTCTTTTTTCACATTACAGCTTTTTTTTGGGAATGGGTAGCGGTACTATGTACCCAGGGGCAGACTGACCATTCGAGCACTTGGGCACTGCCCAATGGCCCGGGTCAGTAGAGGCCCCATGAAATGCCCCTGGTAACTTTTTGATAGGCTTTTTTGAGTGTGGGCAAGGACACAGGGGCCCCATGATCCCCTATTGCCGGGGGCCCAAAGAGTTGTCAGTCTGCCCCTGTATGTACCCCATACTCATTCACATGGGGGGGCAGGATCTGGGGGCCCCCTTGCTAAAGAGGGCTTCCAGATTCCAATAAGCCCCCTGCCCACAGACCCCCACAACCACAGCCCAGTGTTGTGGGGAAGAGGCCCTTGTCCCCATCAACATGGGGACAAGGTGCTTTGGTGGGGAGGAGCTCCCCCTACCCAAAGCACCCCCCCCCCATGTTGAGGGCATGTGGCCTGGTATGGTTCAGGAGGGGGGGCACTCGCTCGCCCACCCCCTTTCCTGACTGCTGGGCAGCATGCTCGGATAATGGTCTGGTAAGCATTTTGGGGGGAACCCCACGCCATTTTTTCTTTAAATTTTGGTGTGGAGCTTCCCCTCAAAATCCATATCAGACCCGAAGGGCTTTTTTTATTATTTTTTAATTGCCGGCAATTCTTTCTTTTACATTCAGTTGTCAGTGGGAATCCTGCTGACAGCTGAAACATTAATGCATGCTTTTCACTACTAAAATACCGCATGACTTGACAAAATAACTCATGCGGTATTTTAGTAGCCTTTTTTAGTAAATTTACTATTTTTCAGTGCATTCTGGTCATTTGGAAGGTCTCCTGAGGTTATCTTTTAAAAACACTTCTAAACGCAAACGTTCATAAACGCTGCTAAACGTCCCGTGTACATTAAGCCTTAAACTTTCATACCTCTGCAGTTCCTTTGGACCTTCTACCCTCAATACAGGGTGGAACATGTAACAACAGTATTTCAACAACCTCCTACCTTTACTAACTCCTTTCCCCCCGATCCTCCCTCCCCCATGACAGTGGGTGGGGGTTCATCTTCTCCTCTTACCTACTGTCAATTTTTTAAAAGAGCACAGCTGTGTAGAGCTCCACCAGCACAGTTCATTCATTCATTTATTCATTTTTGTCATTCTCAGTTTCTTGTGAATGAATAAACTGCAAGTACCGTCTCTTCTACTATTGCAGATGGACTTGAGTTTCAGAGGACTGTGTATAGAGATAAGGGCTGGAAGCCAGAGGACATATCTGCAGGAGCCCACATTGCACCCATGATCTACTGATCACAGGTGCAATGCTTTCCAGGCTCAATATTTTCTGCAAAAATATGTGCTTTTATTTATTCTTTCCATAAAGGTGAACTTATCCATTAAGCATTTGGGTTTAAAAACACTTTATAAATTTTTGTTTTGTTCAATGAAAATTGTTTTTGTTCATTTACTTTCAGGTGCTTTGATAACATTCTAATTCTCCATTTTCTCTTGTAATTTCCCTCTATCTGACCTATTTTGTCCTCCAGCTTCAACACTATGTCAGACCTCTGGAAGTGGACTTGGCGGTGGGGAAATTGCTGGAATTGTCATCGGCACAGTGTTTGGGATATTCCTCCTTGAAGTCATTGTGTACTTTGTTCTAAAGGCAAAAAGAAGTACAGTATAGTATTCTTCTTCCTGTGTTCGAGTAAACTTCATCATAATATATCGTTTAAACCGTATTTTTGATCAGATCAGCATTACAAAAAATGTAAAACACTTGAATAAGTACATATAGAAAACTAAGTAATTGATCAGATATTCTAGTGAAGGAGTTCTACAGGATATTCAGGTCAAATCTGAGTTTGACCATAGCTGCCATGTAGAGCAAAACACACAATTTTATTGGATTAACAACATTTGTCTTTATTTATTATTTATTTTTAAATTAGATCACCCATAGGTTTACGGCCACCCACCTAAAATTGAGTAGCCCCCTTATGCTGCCAAATGAGCCCTGTCAACGCATGGACCCTCCTAGAGCTCTGAAGGTATGCTGTAGTATCTGACACCAAGCAGTCAATAGCAGATTCTTTACGTTCTGTAAGTTGAGAGGTGGGGCCTCCATGGATCAGACTTGCTTTTCCAGCACATCCCGCAGATGCACAATTGGATTGAGATCTAGAGAATTTGGAGGTCAAGTCCACACCAAAAACTCGTTGTGTTACTCAAACCATTCTTGAACATTTGCTTTGGGTGTCATTTTTTTCTGACCCCTCCCCCCGGCAGAAATGACACAGGAGGTGGCAGTGCACACAGGAGCCAATATCTGCAGGGCACACACAGCCAGCCAGAGCCAGTAGAGAGGAGGAGCCGAGTGGCTGGACGAGGAAGGAGCCTCCACTGATCAGACTTCTGGCAGGATACGTTATCCTGCTGAAAGAGGCCACTGCCACTAGGGAATACAGCTTCCATGAAGGGGTGTGCTTGGTCAGGAACAATGTTTAGGTAGGTGGTACATGTCAAGTAACATCCACATGAATATCAGGACCAAAGTTTTCCCAGCAGAACATTGCCCAAACCATCACACTGCCTCCACTGGCTTGCCTTCTTCCCATTCTGCATCCTGGTGGCATCTCTTCCCCAGGTAAACACCGTACAGTACATGCACCCAACCATCCACATGATGTAAAAGAAAACATGATTCATCAGACCAGGCCACTTTCTTCCATTGCTCCGTGGTCCAGTTCTGATGCTCACATGACTATTGTAGGCACTTTTGGCTGTGGACACGGGTGAGCATGGGCACCCTGAACTGGTCTGCGGTTTAGATAGCCCCATACACAGCAAACTGCGATGCCCAGTCTTTCTGCTTTTAACACATCAGCTTTAGGGACAACATGTTTACTTGCTAGTTGCTACCTAATATATCCACCGAGTTTCAGATGACACGGTAATTAAATATATAAATGCTATTCACTTAACTTGTCAGTGGTCATAACGTTTTGGCTGTTCGGTGTGTGTGGTATATATATATATAATCCAAAAGATAAGGCAGCATTGACAGAACCTCAAAGGTGACCACTCAATGATTTTATATTTAACATTTTAAAGAAGCACAAGGTCCTCTTCCTCAGATCCTTCTTTGGTCTTTAGCATGTGTTTCATCCTAACATCCAATCAAAACTTCATCACTGATTGTCAGCCTTTCAAGTCTGGTGAGTGCCGCCTTATATTTTGGATGATATGATATGTACTTTGTACACGCTTTGCTGGGCACCCATTTCTCATGCAGTGGCAGCCATTGGATTGTATATGTAATGTTATCTTATGGATTTGATCATAAGATTTTATTATATGATCTTATTAATTGTATTTTGTACTATTCATCTTATTTTTAATTTTATCTCATTGTGTTTTTAAAACAATTCTTTTACACCACATTGTACCTTCTTTTTAGAGGCTCCAACAAGTAGCTTAGTGTATGAGAATGAACATGTTTCTGAACAAAACTATGAAAGGACTTTGCCAGGAATTCAGGTAATAGAAGACAAAAAAAAAAATTATATATATATATATATATATATATATACACAGTATCTCACAGAAGTGAGTACACCCCTCACATTTTTATAAATATTTGATTCTATCTTTTAATGTGACAACACTGAAGAAATGACACTTTGCTACAATGTAAAGCAGTGTGTGTACAGCTTGTATAACATGTACATTTGCTGTCCCCTCAAATAATAACTAAATATCTAAATAACTAAAGCATTACAAAAACTCACAGCATGACAATTTTGCAAAAGCAGTAAAAGGGGAATAAACAACAGAACGCGTATCTCTCTTATTACAATACTTCCTATGAATACATGAAAGGGCTGATTAGAGTAAGGGAACTAAAATCTTATGCTCCAGTTCCGTATAATAAAACCCCCATGAGAATCAAAGAGATTCATTCACTCTGTAGGTAGAATCCATGGGGTGAAGGGGCAGAGGAGCTTTTCAGTACCAGCAGTATTAGTCCACCTTAATTGCTTTATTTGGTAATCTGATTATACTGGAACGTGTCTGTTTGTGGTACTGGGAACACACCTAGGGGCTCTTTCCTGCACCTTTCATGTAGTAAAGAAATGCCAGTATTAGATGATGGAAGTGTGTAATGATAGTAGTAGTGATGATATCGCCACTAAATGTATGACTTCCAGCTGCAACTGGAGGTTCCGTCTCCTGGTTAAGTGGACACTGTATTTAGTTTGCCTATATGTTGAAATGTCAAAATTCAGTCTAATTTGGTCCAAATCTGAAAGCTCATCCCTAGTGATCATATTAGGTGTAAAGGACTCCTTTACCTGGTTATCATGGCAGATAGTAACTATATGCATTCACCAAACAGGGATGCCAAAGAAACCAATATCCATTAGTGCCAGGCTTGTGTTTGAAATGGGGACAGTTTTTGGGCCACCTTCATGCTTAGTGATAAATGGCAAATAGTTGCTATAAGAATACCAGGCCATACACTTGGAGGGTCTATTTATAAAACATTCATTGAATAAATGTCTGAAGTATCTGTGCATGCTGAACAAAATGTCCTGTAATTGTTGTAAGAAATGAATGCCTGTATCTTCAGCTGCATCTTGTGGCCAAAATTTGGCAAAGTCTTCTGATTGAGATGTTTCAGAAAATTACACTGCATTTTGGGCACTGGATGGAACTGAAGAAACAGGCATTAATCCTTTACAAAGATGCAGTGCAAATGCTTCTGACATTTGTGCAACAAATGTTTTACAGGGCTCAGGGGTGATGGGCTGATATCCTTAATAAAAAAAAAAAGTTGCAGAGGATTGGGAAAAAAAAGTCTCCAGCCTAGTTCATTGGTAGACATGTGCATTTTTTGTTTCATTTCAAATTTTTTTTTCGGATTCAGAAATTCGGATGTATATAAATCTCCCTATGGATGTAGTAACCAATGTAAATGAATCAAAAGAAAAAGATATAATGAAATGAATGAATGCATTTTTTTCATTCAGATGACATCACATGATGCGATAGTAGTTTGGGCCCATGGGGAAATTAATTCAATTTTCAAATTTGTTAAATAATTCAGATTCGGGTAACGAATGGATCTGAAATTCATTCCATTCGTCAATTTGGATGCACATGGTGCTAGTTGATATTGTCCAATCATGCTTTTTCTTTTGGGTTGGTTTGGGTTGAACTATTGAATCCTTCTAATTCGAATCCTTCCGATTTGATAATAGATTGAATATATAGCAATCTTCTGGAATAGCTGCAAAATTTTTCGAAACTTCACCCCAGACCAACAAATGTACGAAGGGAAGGCCAAAAATACAAAACATATTCCAAAAACTGTCTCAACATAACGAATATGACGAAACAAAATTCTTCAAAGAATGAATGAAATGAAACAAAATAAATAAATTCCAGCGTGCACACGTCTATTCATTGGTTCACTCATTTCTAGTAATAAAATAAGACTTTATTACCGGTAAGATTTGTTATTTGTTTTATAATATAATATATGTGTAATAATGTATCATATTTAATATATGTGTCTTTTTATATGCAGGAGAAAGTAAGTCAAGCTTCTCACTATGAGGTAAGTATTATTATACATATTTGAACTGTGAATAGGAATCTGTATGCTGGGTATTTGCACTGAAATGGGTTTCCGACTGTTATCACAGTTGTTGGTGTCCTGGCTATACTGCGTTGTCAGTAGGATGCTGTACTGGGAAATCTAATGGTAACAACTTCCATATGAGAAAGATACAGAATATCTATAATTTCCATATACCTAAAGTCCCAGCCCTATAATTATATTCCAGCTCAGATGACTTACTTTCTTTCCACAAATAGGAACTAGCATTCGAGGACAAATCCATATACAGCATCATGAAGCCTGCTGCTGGAAAATACTGAAGGTAACAAGACGTTCCTGTATACCTTTTAATCTGTGCAGATATTGCATTTCAACCTCTCCCTCCCATGACCATTTCCCCCTTTATATCCCTAACCCTGTCACTTCTGGGTCCATTTTTTTTACGTTTTACACAACCATACTAAAATGCACATTTGTTTTACATGAAATTGCACCTAAAAGCTTAACATATTATATATTTTCTGAAAGCAGACCCTGTAGAATAAAATGGTGGTGGATGCAACATTTTGAAAGTGTTACTAAACCTACAACAGTAAAATCAGTCTGTATATGCAGTAAAGCATGCATTTTAAACTCACAGTGGAACCTAAGGGGTTAATCCTCTGCATTGTGCAAAAAGGCCATTTGATCCTTTCTTCTCTGTTCCTCCCCTTTTGCAAGCACCTACCTCTTATCTCCTGATAAGACAGACTGAACCGTAGGCATTTTTTCACATGTTCAGTTTGGTGTGTATTGCTGGAGAGTTTTTTTTTTGTGTTTTCTTGGGAGATTGCATGTGGTTGCAGCATTGCATGACTGCGCAATTGTCAGTTAAAGTAACGCAGCGCCGTAACGCGAAAAATGGCCTGGTCAGGGAAGGGGGGAAATGGTTAATTAGCTTCTTCCTCAGTCAGAGTGGCCGCGGTTTGACAACTCTGAAGCCAAAGATTCTCAGAGCTGAGCATTTCCGGGTT